AGTATAGTTTTACCAACGCTCTTATATGGGTGTGAAGCATGGGTGATGAATGTTGCAGCGAGGAGAAGGCTGGAGGCAGTGTAGATGTTATGTCTGAGGGCAATGTGTGGTGTGAATATAATGCAGAGAATTCGTAGTTTGGAAGTTAGGAGGAGGTGCGGGATTACCAAAACTGTTGTCGAGAGGGCTGAGGAAGGGTTGTTGAGGTGGTTCGGACATGTAGAGAGAATGGAGCGAAACAGAATGACTTCATGAGTGTATCAGTCTGTAGTGGAAGGAATGCGGGGTAGGGGTCGGCCTAGGAAAGGTTGGAGGGAGGGGGTAAAGGAGGTTTTTGTGTGCGAGGGGCTTGGACTTCCAGCAGGCATGCGTGAGCGTGTTTGATAGGAGTGAATGGAGATAAATGGTTTTTAATACTTGACGTGCTGTTGGAGTGTGAGCAAAGTAACATTTATGAAGGGGTTCAGTGAAACCGGCAGGCCGGACTTGAGTCCTGTAGATGGGAAGTACAGTGCCTGCACTCTGAAGGAGGGGTGTTAATGTTGCAGTTTAAAAACTGTAGTGTAAAGCACCCTTCTGGCAAGACAGTGATGGAGTGAATGATGGTGAAAGTTTTTCTTTTTCGGGCCACCCTGCCTTGGTGGGAATCGGCCGGTGTGATAATAAAAAAATAATAATTGAATATATTGATTTCTTAACTGCCCATCCCCTCTTTTGATACGCCTATATATGCCTATCTTTTGACCAATGAGATGTTTTAATCTATTGTTCATCCATTTGGGATCATTTTTGTTAGATCTAATTTCCCTACTCGGAACAAAAGTTGTCTGGGCAGCTAGAACTATGCTCTGAAAAACGTCATATTGGCAACCAAGATCACCTACTTGACCCATAGTCAGGACATCCCAATTTAGCCCACCCTGGTAATTTTTCAGTCCCATGAAATCGGCCAAGCGAAAATCTGGGACAGAGATTTTATTGCAGTTATCTGGGTAATTCCATGATATATTAAAACTAAGTGATTTGTGATCATTTTCCCCAAGCTCATCATTAACCTCAATATTATTAATTAGCGAATCTTTGTTGGCAAGAACCAAGTTAAGCAGATTGTTTCCTCTAGTTGGTTCTGTCACAACCTGTTCTGAAAAGCAATCCTGAACCGTATCATGAAAGTCACTAGACTCAAGATTTCCTGTCATATTGTTCCAATCAATTTGTCTAAAGTTAAAATCTCCCATTATCACAACATTTTCATATCTAGATGCCTTATGAATTTCGTCCCATAACAGCTTACTGGCCTCCCTATCAAGGTTTGGGGGCCTATAAATCACACCCAAAATTAATTTGTCACGTCCCTCGAGAAACTGTAGCCAAATAGATTCTGTGTTCGATGTCTCTAATCTTATATCATGTCTAAGGCAACAATTTAAATTTTCTCTGACATACATCGCCACCCCACCACCCTTCCTGTTGACCCTGTCAGTGTGGAATAGTTTATAACCCTGTATGTTGCATTCAGAAGGCATTTCTCTATCTTTCAGGTTGAACCAGGTCTCTGTTTTACCAATAATATCTATATTACCTACACTTGCAAGTAATCTTAGCTCATCTATCTTATTTCTTAGACTCCTACTATTTGTATAGTAAACCTTAAGGGAGCTAATCACTCGTTGCCCTCTACTATCCCTCTTTGTTTCTTGATCAATTGATTTGCCATTACTAGCAACTTTATTTTGAGTATTGTCTTTTAAACATATCCCTGAGGTATCCCGGTAATAACTGCTGTTTTTAACCCTAATACTGCAGCCTGATTGTTTCCCACAAACACCCATACCTCTATAATCTATCAGTTTAAATTCCTAGACAAGTCATCAATTACCCTCTCAATTGAATTGGCTAATACAACCACTCCATCCCCAGAGAGATGAACCCCATTCCTTGCATACATATCACATTTGCCAAAGAATAGGTTCCAGTTATCAATGAATGGGATTGCAAGTTCCTTGCAGTACCTGTCTAGCCAGTAATTTATACCAATTGCCCTAGACATCCATTCATTGCCCACTCCCTTTCTAGGCAAGATGCTACATATGACTGGGATCCCTCCCTTAGACCTAACTACTTCTATGGCTGACCTGTACTTATCCAGCAGCTCCTCTCTCCTGCCCTTCCCAATGTCGTTACCCCCAGCACTAAGACAGATAATGGGCTTGTTCCCATTACCTGCCATAATATTATCCAACCTGCTGACTATGTCACCAACACCAGCTCCAGGAAGACACACTCTCTGTTTGACCTTTCTGTCTGTTACAAAATGCACGGTCCATGTATCTTACTCCTGCGCTTGTGACAGAATCGTTCTTGGGTTTTTGCACTAAGTTTTTAACAGTAGTTGCACAGCTGGTGGATATTTAAACAATGTTCCTGATAAATATTTTATAAGCATTAGTTGCTACGTTGCTGACTGGTAGAACAATGTTACTGGGGGAAACAGCAAGGTCTGGATATTAGGATCTGAGAGCACAAGAATGCCTGGATCTGTGTGTCCAACACAGAGACGATGTTGGACACCTCATGAAGTTCAGTGAGGCTAGATTAGTTGTTAAGAAAGATGATTTATGACGACGTAAGTGTACAGAGACTGCCTTAATTGCTAATTTTATAAAAAAATCTGGAAGTTAAACTATATCCAAACTGCTGATTAATAGGATATTGCCTATTCTGGAGACTGCTGTAACATGATGCTGATAGTTCCATCTCAAACCCAACCCATCTCACCATAGTTGTACTTCTACTACTACTACTACTACTACTACTACTACTACTACTACTACTACTACTACTACTACTACTACTACTACTACTACTACTACTACTGCTACTACTACTACTACTACTACTACTACTACTGCTACTACTACTAATACTACTACTACTACTACTACCACTACTACTACTACTACTACTACTACTACTACTTGCATCCTCTTACAGCTTGCCACCTGGCTCCTGCCACTCGTAGTGAAATGTTTCATCCAATAAATCTTATCAGTATCACCATACCACTTTCACCGCATTCTCTGTTTTCCGATCCCCTAGAAGCCGAGCTGTTTCAATTGATTTGCTAAAGATCACTGTTAGGGGTTCACACAGTTCCTCTGCCCCGTCTCTCAAAACCTAAGGAGATATTTTGCTTGGTTCTATTGCCTATGAGGTATCTAGTTTATTCTATATTTTCTTTATCATTTTTCTTGTTGTTTGTTCTGTGTCTAATACTCGTCGGTGCACACTCTTTGACTCTCAGGAAATATTCCTGATTCCACTGAGAATACCTCATAAATCTTTGGTTCAGCTCTTCACAGACTTCCTGGTCAGTCCTAGTGAGTTTCCCTCCTTCCCTCTTCTGCCTTATTATCTGGTCCCTCACAGTTGTCTTCCATCTGATGTGGCTGTACATCAACTATGGGTCAGAGTCGACTTTTGATGCTATGTCATTCTCTTTTTACCCATGCATACTCATTCGTGGTTTTTCAGTTTACTTTTCTATTCTCGGCGTTCTTTCCTTCCTAGACAGTATTTCTCCAATGCTCTCGCACTTTTAGCTTTTGCCTCCCTGCACCTCATGGGCTCATTCTGTTCCTGCTTGTGCCTCTTCTTTTGGGAATGAATTTCTCCTCTGCCACCTGGCACTTTCCAGTTGATATGTAAGACCTATGTACAACAGTTAGGTATCTTTATTTCGATACATTTCGCCTACGCACCAGGCTTCTTCAGTTGTATTCAGGAGGCAGCAGAAGCAATGGAAATGTTCATCACCCTCAAAGATGTAGTTCTGAGGTGGTCAGTCCCTCAGCTTGGAAAAGAGTTCTGCTCCATAGTCTAGAACAATGTGAAGCTGAAGCACCAGAATGGCGACTTACATACTGTCAAAAGTTGGGCGAAGAAAATCTTGAAGATGACAGAAGATGCGGGGACCCCTTGTCGAAGACCGTAATAACTGTAAGACAGTGTAGCAAGTCTACTGGGTAGGTTCCTCTCAGATCAAACCTTACTCACCCACACTTGAGAGGGACCTACTCAGAAAGCTTGCTACACTGCCTTTCGATTATTAGTCTTCTACTAGTGGGCCCCGCCTCTTCTGTCGTCTTCAAGATTTTCTGCGCCTCATCTTTGGCAGTATATGTCTCCATTCTGATGCTTCAGCTTCATATTGTTCCATACTATGAAGAAGAACTGTTCTCAAGGCTAGAGACTGATCACCTCAAAACTACGTCTTCGAGGGTGATGGACATTTCCACTGCTTCTGCTGCATCTGAATTCGCCTAAAGAAGCTTGCTTTGTAGACGAAACGTTTCCGAATAGTGATAAGTAACTGTTGCACATGTGTTTTACTTATCATCTTATCAGTATTACATACCATTATTATATTCACACTTTCCAGCTACATACTGCATCGTTTCATTTACCGCCTTTCCTTCTAGATCCCTTTACCATGTCACTCTGCTTAGATTATTATTATTATTATAATTATTATTATTATCATGGAGAGCGCTAAACCCGTAGGATTATACAACGCATATGGGGGATGTAAGGTATTCAGGCTCAATTCAGGGAACCGGAGCACAGATCCAATTCTCTAGATCAAGAGCCCCTCACCAGCGTCAAGGAACCTCGCTTGAGGGGACACTTTAAAATGTCCCTCATACCATCATAGTCTCCTCCTCGTGCCCAAAATGCTCTACATAACCAGGGGATTTCTGTATAGTATGTCAATGGTGTCAGCTACATCTGTGTAAGTTGTACCATGTACTTGTAGAAATAAAGGTTATTATTATTATTATTATTATTATTATTATTATTATTATTATTATTATTATTATTATTATTATTATTATTATTTAAAGTCATCTATGTATGAGTGTGTATGTGTTACTTAGTTGCTAGTTGTCAGTCACTTCTTGATAGACACTTGACCTTTTTTTGTGTGTCAGTATACTTACAACGGGTGTCTTGATGTAGAGTTCACCCTTAGCACCGGGTGGGAGAGCAACATTGGTGTCCAAGTCGATTATTTTGGCGCTCATGTTAGGAAGCAGCTTGCCACAGGAACCCAGTTTCTCTTCGTCCTTAGGAGTCAAGTGGGTGCAGAGGAGCTCCGTCAGGCCATAACCTAAAGTAGGGAGGATAACAAGAAATGCACATCAACCACTGGCAGGACCTAATAAAAACTGCACAAAAATAGCTTGTAAATATTTAGCATGTGAAGCTGTACAAATGAAACTTGAGTCAATTACCTTCCTGGAAAAATATCGGCCGAGAAACCTTCTCCTTGAGCATTGTAACAGCTGATGGGTAGGAAGGAGCAGCGCCACATATGACAGTGTGAATGCTGTCTAGGTCAGCTGCTGACACTACTGGAGATGAAGCGATGAACTGCAGAAGTGGAGGCACTACATGCAGGCAAGACACCTACCATACACAGCACCAACATAGTGTTAAGAATAAGATAATGCATTGTACACTGACAACTAACAGACATATACACACACACATACATTGTGTATATATTATTATATATATATATATATATATATATATATATATATATATATATATATATATATATATATATATATATATATTATATATATATATATATATATATATATATATATATATATATATATATATATATATATATATATTCTTTCAACACACCGGCCGTATCCCACCGAGGCAGGGTGGCCCAAAAGGAAAAACGAAAGTTTCTCCTTTCAAATTTTGTAATACATACAGGAGAAGGGGTTACTAGCCCCTTGCTCCTGGCATTTTAGTTACCTCTTACAACACACATGGCTTATGGAGGAAGAGTTCTGTTCCACTTCCCCATGGAGATAAGAGGAAATAAACAAGAATAAGAACTAGAAAGAAAATAGAAGAAAACCCAGAGGGGTGTGTTTATATATGCGTGTACATGTATGTGTAGTGTGACCTAAGTGTAAGTAGAAGTAGCAAGACGTACCTGAAATCTTGCATGTTCATGAGACAGAAAAAAGGACACCAGCAATCCTACCATCATGTAAAATAATTACAGGCTTTCGTTTTACACTCACTTGGCAGGACGGTAGTACCTCCCTGGGCGGTTGCTGTCTACCAACCTACTACCTATATATATATATGTATATAATATATATATATATATATATATATATATATATATATATATATATATATATATATATATATATATATATATATATATTATGTGTGTGTGTGTGTGTGTGTGTGTGTGTACTCACCTATTTGTGGTTGCAGGGGTCGAGTCCTAGCTCCTGGCCCCGCCTCTTCACCGGTTGCTACTAGACCCTATCTCTCCCCGCTCCATGAGCTTTATCAAACCTCGTCTTAAAACTGTGTATGGTTCCTGCCTCCACTACGTCATTTTCTAGGCTATCTGTGTGTGTGTGTGTGTGTGTGTGTGTGTGTGTGTGTGTGTGTGTGTGTGTCGTGCCGAATAAGTAAAACTTGCGATTTTGGCTTAAATAACAACACACTTCTTGTGTAATAGGGCAAACGAAAATTTGTGTATGCAATAATTTCGCAAAAATCATTCTGAACCAAACAAAAAAATATATTTCATTGTGTATGTTCATTATTAAATTATTGTAAACTTATCTAAAATATATGTAGTTGGACTAGGCTAAATTAAATTGTGCTTGTTATAATAAGGTTAGGTAAATTTTCTAAGCCTCTTTATTAATTTTTACATTAACATAAATGAAAAAAATATATCTTTAAATGTAAAAGAGAAAATTTTAGAAAGGACTTAATTTTAAATGAGTTCTTGCTAATTGACCAATATAAACACATCGGCCGTCTCCCACCAAAGCAGGGCGACCAAAAAAAGAAATACTTTCATCATCATTCACTCCACCACCATCTTGCCAGAGGCGCGCTTACACTACAGTTATAAAGCTGCAACTTATCAACACTCCTCCTTCAGAGTGCCGACACTGTACTTCCCATCTCCAGGACTCAAGTCTGGCCTGCCGGTTTCCCTGAATCCCTTCATAAATGTTACCCTGCTCAAACTCCAACAGCACGTCAAGTCATAAAAAGCATTTGTCCCCACTTGCTCCTAACACACTCACGCATGTTTGCTGGAAGTCCAAGCCCCTTGCACACAAAACCTCCTTTACCTCCGTCCCTCCATCCATTCCTAGGCCGACCACTACACCACCTTCCATTACAGATTTATATGCTCTCCAATCATTATATTTCGTTCCATCCTCTCTAAAAGTCTGAACCACCTCAACAGCCCCTCCTCAGCCCTCTGGATAATATTTTTAGTAACCCTGCACCTCCTCCTAGTTTCCTAGCCATGGATTCTCTGGATTTTATTCACACCTCACATTGTCTTATGACACGATATCTCCATTCCCTCCAGCCTTCTGTTTGTTGCAACATTCACCATCCATGCTTCACACCCATATAATAGCGTTGGTATAACTATACTCTCATACAATTCTCTCTTTGATTCCATGGATAACATTCTTTGTCTCCAGAGACTCCTCAGTTCTATGATTCACCTTATCCTTCATAGACCCATCTGCTGATAGGTCCACTCTCAAATATCTGAATACATTCACTTCCTCCATATTCCCTCCCTCTAGTTTGATATCCAATCTTTCATTGCTATTTTTTATATCCTCATCACCGTACTCTTTCCTATGTTCAGTTTTAATTTCCTTCTTTTTACATATCCTACCAAACTCATCCACCAACCTCGGCAACTCTCCTTCAGAATCTCCCAAAAGCACAGTGTCATCAGCAAACAGCAACTGTGACAGGTCCCACTTTGTGTTAGATTCTTGATCCCTTAATCCCATGCCTCTTGACAACACCCAAGCATTCACTTCTCTTACAACCCCATATATATATATATTATATATATATATATATATATATATATATATATATATATATATATATATATATATATATATATATATATATATATATATATATATATATTTATATATATATATATATGTATATATATATATATATATATATATATATATATATATATATATATATATATATATATATATACATATATATATATATTATATATATATATATATATATATATATATATATTATATATATATATATATATATATATATATATATATATATCAGCCACTGTGAAAGAATAGTGAAATTCCAAGCGATTTCATGATTTCCGACATTATCAAGGAACTATAAATACAATACATCAAAGGAAGGCACATAAAATGTCGAGACCACACCTCACCATCACATCCCACAACAAAGCAACACCTGACGCGCGACGACACCCGACTCATAAGAAAGGAACACTGCAGTAGGCCTGCTGGTTCCAACTAGTCAGGTCTTTCACGACATACCACTAACAAAATATTTGCTCAACCCAAGTACTCTACCCAAGAATTAAGATTTATTATTTGTCAAATGTATTACTAAATTCTTCCCAAATTTTATTAATTATAAATGAATCTAATTTACATAAACCAAAGGAAATATTCATATTATATTCAAAACTGCCCTTTATGGAACATGATTAAATTATATTCCTGTCTACCATGGTCTTACTTGATACAACTTTCTCAACTTTTTGAAAATCAGTTCGATGGTTAAAATCTCTTGCATGAATAAATAGAGCATTAGACTCTTGTCCAGTTCTAATGCTATATTTATGTTGTTTTAATCTAAGCTCCAGACTTTTACCAGTTTGACCGTAATAAACTTTATAGCAAATTTTACAAGGAATCTTATAGACACATCCGTCAGCATTTTGGGGGGAATTCTTTATCAAAAGTTTTTTTTTTACTGTATCAAGATTTTTAAATACAACCTTGATATTAAAAGTCTTAAGAAGAGAAGGCATATCAACCAAGTTTTCATGGTAAGGGAGAACCAACATATTTTTAGTTGAAAAAGGCTGGTTGTCCTTTTTTGGATTGCAAAAAGTATTTCTGGCAATTTTAAAAAAATTATCAATTACGTTTCTTGGGTATTTCAGATCATTAGCTATTTCGTTAATGTTGGATATTTCCTCATCTATGAACTCTGGACTACAAATACGTAAAGCACTCAAAAACATTGATGAGAAAACAGACAGTTTAACTCTATCTTGATATGAAGAATAATAGTGCACATAGGAACAGTTATTTGTAGGTTTTCTGTAAATTTTAAATTTGAATTCATTATTACCCTTATTAATTGAAACATCTAGAAAAGGCAATGAGTTATTTTCCTCAAACTCAACAGTAAAGTTTATAGAATGGGCTAAACTATTTAATTTAACAAGGAAATGGTGTATATCTACATTCTTTCAATACTAACTCTACCATACACTTTACCAGGTACACTCAACATACTTTTTTCTTTTTAACACATCGACCTTTTCCCACCGAGGCAGGGTGACCCAAAAGAAAGAAAAACCCAAAAAGAAAGAAAAAACTTTCATTATCATTCAACACTTTCACCATCAGTCATACATAATCACTGTCTTTGCAGAGGCGTCCAGATACAACAGTTCAGATAGTTACTCCAAACTGCCAATATCCCAGACCCCTCCTTTAAAGTGCAGGCATTGTACTTCCCATTTCCAGGACTCAAGTCCGGCTAACCGATTTCCCTGACTCCCTTCACAAAATGTTACCCTGCTCACACTCTAACAGCTCGTCAGGTTCCAAAAACGATTCATCTCCATTCACTCCTCTGTAACACGCTCACGCACGCATGCTGGAAATCCAAGCCCCTCGCCCACAAAACCTTCTTTACCCCCTCCCTCAAACCTTTTCGAGGAAGACCCCTACCCTGCCTTTCTTCCCCTACAGATTTATACACTCTCCAAGTCATTCTACTTTGTTCCATTCTCTCAAAATGATCAAGCCACCTCAACAACCCTCCTTCAACCCTCTGACTATTACTTTTTAGTAACTCCACACTTCTTCCTAATTTTGACACTACGAATTCTTTGCATATCTACACCACCCATTGGCCTTAGACAGGACACCTCCACTTCCTCTAGCCGCCTCCTAGCTGCATCATTTACAACCCAACCTTCACACCCATACAAGAATGTTGGTACCACTATGCTTTCGTACATTCCCTTCTTTGCCTCTTTGGTTAACGTGTTTTGTCTCCACAGATACCCCAATGCACCACTCACCTTTTTTCCTTCATCAATTCTATGGTTAACCTCATCCTTCATAAACCCATCTGCTGACAAGTCAACTCCCAAATATCTGAAAACATTCACTTCTTCCATACTCTCTCTCTCTCCAATGTGATATCCAATTTTTCTTTATCTCAATCGTTTGATACCCTCATCACCTTACTCTTATCTATGTTCACTTTCAACTTTTTACCTTTACACACCCTCCCAAACTTGTCTACTAACCTTCGTAACGTTTCTTAGGAATCTCCCAAAAACACAGTATCATCAGCAAAAAGTAACTGTGTCAAGTCCCATTTTGTATTTGATTCCCCATAATTTAATCCCACCTCCCTCTCCAACACCCTAGCAATTACTTCTTTTTCAACCCCTATAATTCCCCTATAATTTTTGCACTCTCTTTTGTCTCCTTTGCCTTTATTCAAAGGAACTATGCATGCTTTGCCAAATCCCTAGGTACCTTACCCTCTTCCATACATTTATTAAATAAAAGCACCAACCATTCCAGAACTATATCCTCACCTGCTTTTAACATTTCTTTCTTTATCCCATCGGTCCCAGCTGCCTTACCTCCTTTAATTTTACCCACTGCTCAACGCACTTCCTCCACACTCACAACTGGTTCTTCCTCTTTCCTACAAGATGTTATTCCTCCTTGCCCTACACACGAAATCACAGCTTCCCTATTTTAATCAACATTTAACAATTCCTCAAAATATTCCCTCCATCTTCTTGATACCTCCAACTCTCCATTTAATAACTCTCCTCTCATACTTTTAACTGTCAAATCCATTCGTTCCCTAGGTTTCCTCAAATTGTTAATCTTATTCCAAAACTTTTTCTTATTTTCATTAAAATTTGTTGATAATGTCCCACCCACTATCTCATTTGCCCTCTTTTAACATTGCTTCACCTCTCTCTTAACCTCTTTTTTCCTCTCCATATACTCTTCCCTCCTTGCATCACTTCTACTTTGTAAAAGCTCTCATATGCTAACTTTTTCTCTCTTACTAATCTCTTTACATCATCACTCCACCAATCGCTCTTCTTCGCTCCCTCACCCACTTTCCTGTAACCACAAACTTCTGCTGAACACTCTAACACTACATTAGCATTAATAATAAAGTAACCATGGTTCTTTCCTACCCGATTCTTCTTGAGTACTTCTAGGAAGCTCTTGGGCTCAAATCTGGGAAGTGTGATCAGTTTGACCCCGTTGAACATTGCACAGGACATAACTGTCATCATCCCGTAGATATGGAAGAAGGGCAGCAGACCCATGAATTCTTCCTGATGCTCTCCTGTAAGACAGATTGACACTCGGTAAAAAAAATGGAATTAAACTGCTGAATTTTAAAATTATTCATTATAAGTTTAAATATGCTTAATAAAGTTTATTTTCAAAATAATGTAATGCAGTTATACAGGCAAGACTTGGAAGTTTATATCTTGGCACTAGAGAGCGTGAACTACATTTCACATTGGAACACTTCACCCAGGATATCTAGTGTGATTTACATTTAGTTTCTTAAATCTACAACGAAGCTTTGCACTTAAACATATGTGTAACAGTCAGACTTTCGAAGGAATTGTAAAAAACTTACCATCTGCCTTGATGACGGTGAAGGTGTAGGGGTTGTGATATATGGGGATTATATTAGAGAGAGAAGAGTGAGGAATGCACACGCCTTTTGGTTTTCCTGTTGTCCCGCTGGAGTAGGGCATACAAGCGATCGTTTCGCTAGGGATCTGCGGAAGGAAGGATAATAAGTCATCCAAAGGTCTGCGCTCAAGTTCCTATGAAGCTACCTCTACCCCGTGCACCAAGAAAGTCTGTAAATATTGAGAGGTGGAATGCCACGTAGGTAACCCAGAGTCACGTCACCTGACCCTTTGTTTATATAACTTCTTACGTTCATGAAAATGTGAAATTGCAGTTTGTAGACTTAGTTCATGCACCCACTAATTCAGTTTAGATTTTTAATCGTATCATTCCTTACAAGTCAAGTCCTTTCAGTTAGCCGCCTAGTTTTTCCTTCAACTTTTCATAAGACTTGCTTACTTGTTACAGTGGCCAGACCTAGGCTTGGTTACAAGTACTTCTGGCAGTCTGGAAGACAAACAGATGATGATCAAACCGAATCCAAAGTATGTGGCCAGCCCTATGGTCACTATCTTGAACACTATGTGTTTAATTGTCCATTTATTGAGGAATATGGAGATAAACAGTATAATAACATATGTGATAATTCAAGATATATTTTTAATGGAAATAAGTTACCAACTATATTAAGCAAGTTTCCTAAATTTGTTTGTAACAGATAAGTAAACTGTAGATATAAACCCAGATGTACTCTTGTAAACCCTTTTGGAGCTTAGTTTCTAGGCCTTTTGTGTATCCATATACTCTTGCGCTACCTGTGGAAAATCAAACAAGTAGTTTAACTGATTTTCCAATACTGTATTTGTAAATTTGAGGAGGGGGTGAAAACGCTATGAGGGAGAAAGTGGAGGACAATAGTTCTCGCCTGTATGCACTCATGCCAAACTTTCAATTATCATTACCTTAATAGTATGGTTAATTTAACAGTAGAAACTTAATAAATTAAAATTCAGTTTCTTATATAAGTATTAAGTTAAACGACGCTAAAGATGGAATTTAATTAGCTTATTAATTCGAGTATATAGTCTACAAGCTTATATACATCACAACACCTGTACCACTTTTGAGTGGGGAACAGCCTAGCTACCTGGAGTTGACCTGGAGAAGATTTCGGGGGTCAGCGCCCCCGCGGCTCGGTCTGAGACCAGGCCTCATGGTGGATCAGGGTCTGATCAACCAGGCTGTTACTGCTGGCCGCACGCAAACTGCCGTACGAACCACAGCCCGGTTGGTCAGGTACTGACTTTAGGTGCCTGTCCAGTGCCTTCTTGAAGGCAATCTGGGGTCTATTGGTAATCCCCCTTATGTATGCTGGGAGACAGTTGAACAGTCTTGGGCCCCGGACACTTATAGTGTTGTCTCAGTGTACTGCTGGCGCACCTACTTTCATTGAGGGAATGTTGCATCTCCTGCCGAGTCTTTTGCTTTCATAGGGAGTGATTTTCGTGTGCAAGTTTGGTACTAATCCCTCTAGGATTTTCCAAGTATATATTATCATGTATCTCTCTCTCGCCTGCGTTCCAGAGAATAAAGATCGAGGGGCTTCAAGCGTTCCCAGTAATTTAAGTGTCTTATCGTACGTATGTGTGCCGTGAAAGGTCTTTGTACACTCTCCAGGTCAGCAATTTCTCCTGCCTTGAAGGGGGCAGTTAGTGTGCAGCAGTATTCCAACGATTTGAAGAGAACCATCATGGGCTTGGGGTCCCTAGTTTTGAAGGTTCTCATTATCCATCCTATCATTTTCCTAGCAGATGCAGTAGATACATTGGTGTGGTCTTGGAAAGCGAGATCCTCTAACATTATCACTCTCAGGTCCTCCACATTACTTTTTCGCTCTATTGTATGGTTAGAATTTGACGTATACCCCGATACAGTTTTAATTTCCTCAAGTTTTCCATATCTGAGTAGTTGAAATTTCTCTTCATTGAACTTCATATTGTTTTGAGTGACCAGTTTGAAGATTTGGGTGATGTCCGCTTGGAGTCTCGCAGTGACTTCTCTGGAGGTCACTGTTATGGCAATCCGGATGTCATCCGCAAGAGAAGACACGGAGCTATGGCTTACATCTGTGTCTATGTCAGAAATGAGGATGAGAAATAGAATGGGAGCGAGTACTGTGCCTTGTGGAACAGAGTTTTTGACTGTGGCTGCCTGGGACTTTACTCTGTTTACTATTACTCTTTGTGTTCTATTTGTCAGGAAGTTATAGATCTATCAACCAACTTTTCCTCTTATTCCTTTATCACACATTTTGTGTGCTATTACAACATGGTCACACTTGTCGGAAGCTTTTGCTAAGTCTGTGTATACTACATATTTATTTTGTTTTTCCTTTACAGCATCCAGGACCTTGTCATAGTGGTCCAGTAGCTGGGGCAGGTAGGACGGACCTGCTCTAAACCCGTATTGCCCTGGGTTGTGTAACTGATGGGTATCTATGTGGCTGGCTGTCTTGCTTCTTAGAACCTTTTCAAAGATTTTTATGAAATTGAAATTGAAATATTTATTTCTCTGTAAAGATTATAATGTGGGGTTTACATATTATAGAATATTAAGTACAATTTGTGGTTTGCATATTATAAAATATTAATTACATAGAAGGCCACTAGCAGGCCTAGGCATTTCGGGCAAACTAATACTAATTCTTACTCTACAGTATATTGATACAGGTTGTAGAGCATACTGATATTAAAGTTAGATAACTGTAGTGATTAAATAGATTTACAATAGTGAGGTAGTTCAAAACATTTAAGAATGTTACAATTTGTAAATTTAGTAATAATAATGGTTTTGTCTTGGCATGATACACAGTTTCTATTAAAGTTCCTATATTGGAGTATCTCAGGTAAACTTATGACTAGATTAAGATATATTAGGCAATAGCTATATTCGGAATTTTGTTTACAGTCATTTGGATGAGTGTAAGTGTAAATTAGAGGGAATCACAGATATCGAGAGTAAGTCTATTTTGTTTTGGATGGTTGCATGATACGAGTAATATTATTGTTGATATTCACGTAGTTAGCTGAGGGTGTGGTGTGTTAAGGAGGTAAGATGTTTTTAACGGTGGTTTTGAAAATGTTGGTTGTGTCTGCAGTTCTAGAGCTTTCAGGCAGGGAGTTGCAGATTTTAGGCCCTTTTATGTACATTGAATTTTTGTATAGATTTAGCCGGACACAGGGAATGTGTGCTCTTACCTGTATTTTTTTGTACCTCTGTATGTATGCTCAAATTACTAAATAAATAAATAAATAAATAGAGATTTTTGTGCCTGGTGTTGTGCCTGTGAGTCCTGTCACAACTATCAAGAAAGCGTTTTAGTTCTGGGTTAATATTGGAATTTATGGCTCTGTAAATGTAGGTTGCACAGCAGTAAGTGTGGATGTTCTGAACAGTGAGTAAGTTTGGGTCTTTGAAGAGTGGGGGGGAGGGGTTCCTAGTATTGGAGTGTGTGATAATTCTTACTGCGGCTTTTTGTTGGGTTATTATTGACTTCAGGTGGGTTGTTGCTGTTGATCCCCAAGCACAAATGGCATATGTGAGGTAGGGATAGATGAGTGAATAGTATAGTGTGAGTAGGGCTGATTGTGGTATGTAGTAACGTATCTTAGAGAGGTTCCCAACCTTTTTGGATACTTTTTGTGTTATGTGTTGGATATGGGTGATGAATTTCAGGTTGCTGTCGAGTTGTAGGCCCAGGAATTTGCCCTCATTATGTATAGTAATAAGAGTGTCGTCAGTCTTAATGTTCAGTTGTGCAACACCTGCTCTGTTACCAAACATAATATAGAAGGTTTTGTCAGTGTTGAGTGTAAGTTTATTGGCTGTCATCCAAGAAGATATTTTTAGTAGCTCCTCGTTAACAATGGCGTTGAGTGAGGCAAGATTTGGGTGGGAGATGACATAAGTAGTGTCGTCAGCAAAGAGAATTAGTTTCAAGTGTTGTGATACTTTGGGAAGATTATTGATGTATAAAAGGAAGAGCAGGGGACCAAGGACACTTCCGTTTGGAACTCCAGTATCAAGTGGTCGTGACGATGAGGTTGTGTCCTTAATGGAGAGGTATTGATACCTGTTAGTAAGGTAGGATTTGAAATATATAAGTGCATGGCCTCTTATACCATAATGGTCAAGTTTGTGGAGTAGGATGCTGTCGTCTACTGTATCAAAAGCTTTCCTTATGTCAATAAACAGTCCTAATGGATATTCCTTATTTTCCAGTGCTGTGGAAAGCAGGTTTAGCATTTTTACAATTGCATTGTTTGTTCTTTTATTTTTCCTGAAGCCAAATTGGCAGGGGTTGAGTATGCTTTGTGCTGTTATAAACGAATATAGTCTTTTGTGCACGAGTTTCTCGAAGATTTTGGATAGCAATGGTAAGTTTGATATTGGCCTGTAGTTATTTACATTTGTAGGGTCACCACCTTTGTGTATTGGTGTAACCCTTGCTGTCTTGAGTAGTGTCGGGAAGGTGCTAGTTTCTAGCGATTTGTTAAATAGTAATGCTGTTATGTATGATAATCTATGTAACTGTATTGTGTATACCTGAATAAATTACTTACTAAATAGCATACGAAAGGACATGAACCGCTCGCTTGTACAGTAATGGTGGGACTTGAGACAGATTCCCTGATTTATTTTTAAGTGACTTGATAATCGTGGTGACTTCAGTGGGTTCGGTAGGTGCAAGATAGAAGGAGATTGGGAAATTCCCATCTAAGTAATCACTTGCTCGGGCGTTTGTACCTGGGATTTTACTGGCGAGATTTGATCCTATGGTTGAGAAGAAGTCATTTATCTTGTTAACTGTAGCAATTGGCTGTAGTTGTGTTTCATTCGGTTTAGTAAGGATAATATCCCTAAAATTTTTCAGTTTGTTTCAGTGAATCTGCTGGAATGGTACAATTGCTTGGCCTTTCTTATTATTTGGTGAGAACTGATGCATAGTGTTTAATAATATCTTTGTGTATTAAGTCCAGTCTATATTGCTTTTCATATTGATGTTTCTTATCACTGGATCTTAGTATGCTGTTAGTTAGCCATGGGTAACCTAACCGTTTATTAAGAACATAAGAACATAAGAACGAAGGAACACTGCAGAAGGCCTACTGGCCCATGCGAGGCAGGTCCAAGTCTCCTACCGGCTTAAGCCACTGCAACACAAGGGTATCTTGGTACAGACCTACAATCAACTTCGACAACCTCTACTAGTGAGAACGGCTGGATTTGAGAGGGACCTGACCTCCCAACATCTGAGTTCTTACCTCTTCTAGTGACCTACGTCTCACTTCTTGGCGCTATATAAGGCTCCATCCTGCCACTTCATCTCCATATTGTTTCATACTATGGAACAATGCTCTTCTCCAGACTGAGGGACTGACCACCTCAAAACTTTAAGGGTGATGGACTGATTACATCGTCTTCAAGTATCTTCTGCTTCTATCAACTTTTCTGTACTCGACTGAAGAAGCCTACTGTGTAGGTGAAACGTTTCGAAATAAAGATACCTAACTGTTGCATATGTGTCTTACCTAACAAGCCAATGCACCCAACCTAGTCAGGTCAGGTCACATTGACTTAAGTAATTTATTAAGAATGTGTCTATCCAATCAACGATACCATTGACCTTGGAGAATTCTGTAGGACAGTCAACCGTCTCTAGCTCTGCTGTGAAGTTACTTATTGAGGTCTCGTCATGGAGTCAAAAAGAAACTTTGTTGTATTCCAGTGGTGGTTTACTAATGTTTGTTAAGAGGAAGGTGGAGTAGTGGTCAGTAGTGCTGTCTGTAATTATCCTTGATTTGAAAAGCTGTAGGGTGGCCTCCATGCATGTCTCTTGGGTGACCGTTGGTGGGAGATGGTTGCTATTAACTATAACAGCGTCAAATAAATGTTGTTGGTCATTATGGTCTTGGAAATTGTTAATGACATCGGTAAGTTGGAGGTCCACTCGTGATCTTTCTTCTATGGTGTTGGTATTTAGTTGGGTAACTTGATCTTTTAGACTGTTGATGGTGTCCACAGACTGGGTGTGGGTGTTGCTTAGTTGTTCAAGTGTGTTTAGTTTATGTTCTAGAGTTGTGATCTTGCCGAGGTACTGTGTGTTAGAAGTTTGTAGTTCCTTTACTTCTTAGGTAAATGTGTCATTGGAGGTTTTAAGTTCCTGCATTTCCTGGGTTAGCTTGGTGATTGTTTAGTGTTGGATCCTAAGGAGTTTAGCTATTTCTGGGTCAGAAATGTTCATAATATCAAATCCATGGAAGGAGTTATCTTGGGCGTTGGTGGCGGTGGACATGCTCGTTGTTGTTGTCTGTCGAGTGTCATTAACAACTTCCAAGACCATAATGACCAACAAAACTATGAACAAATGATGGTACTGAATGGTGAAGTGCAACTGGTATTGCTAGTGATTGCAGCAAACATTCCCGACATAATGGCGACTAGTGCAACATTCCCCGAGACACTCAAGCCTTCATTCAAGTCATTGCTATCAGCCTTAATGGCGCATTCGACGCCATAAGCTCACGTTACACGAGCAAGATAAGTCTTAATCTCTTATAACACCGATTATGTACTGCAGTCCATGGGCAGACACAAGGTGATTGGTCTCTGTAAGACAGCAAGAGAATTCCTCTGCAGGCAACAAAAAACAGTATAAACGTGGAGAAAATTCTCCAGTAAAGGGGGTATCTCTCAGCCCCCCTCAGCCCTCCGAGGGACTTAACCCTCCAAAAAGGGGCTAGTGGACTCTTCCTCCCTTGCAAACAGATTTATCAAGCCATCATGTTTGTACTATAGCATCACAAGGCATGCTTCCCTCCCCTTGCTTGACTTGTTGCAACTATGCAGTGAGAGTTAAACTAGAATAATTACTCTTTCTCCATAGCAGGAGATTAAGGAAATACCTGCACCCCACTTTATCTACAAGTTGGGACTATTATGAATTCTAGTCTATAACTAGATAACAAGAAACCTACCTTCTTGCATTGAATACTGTTGCAATGTGTAGCATGGAAGAGATATAAAGCTGAGTTCAGCATATCCTTTGTGGGGACGATGAGCAAGAGGGCGGAGGGCGAGAGAGCTTAGATTGCTTTAAGGGACAGTAGTGACCAGTGTGTTTTTGACTCTTGTTCATTCTGACAGTCTCAGGAAACTAGGAAGTTAGACTAGTTTCTTTATATGAGTCAGGAAATTCACGATAGAACTAATCACGTAGTGTTTATTGTGTCTCCGTGTTCTCCCTGCTTTGGATAATGCCACAAAACTAACAAGCTAGTGACTGCAGCAAACATTCCCGACATAATGGCGACCAGTGCAACATTCCCCGAGACACTCAAGCCATTGCTATCAGCCTTAATGGCGCATTCAATGCCATAAACTCACGTTACACGAGGAAGGTAAGTCTTATTCTCTTATAACGCCGATTATGTACTGCAGTCCATGGGCAGACATAAGGTGATTAAGGCTGTCCTTTTCCAGGTCGTTATCCACGGGCTTTAAGCCCAAACCAAGTGAGTACAACTAAGCATTTCATGTTATAATGAAATGCTGAAATAGATAGAAAATAATAGCATCGACACATATGGTTGGACATCGGCTGAGCACCACCAGGAAACGTTCATATCTACACTATCACTAGTCGTTATTATTATATTCAGGGGTAGGAAGCGTAAAACTCGTAGAGGTAACACTGTGTGTATAAGAAGTACTTACGTCCATAAACTGAGCAAAGGGTATGTTGGTGTTGGTTATAATCTCTTCCAAGTTGGGTCTTCCGCTCGTGGAGGCGCCACTGACGATGACTGTGAGGTCTCGCTGCAGGAGCTTGAGTGCAGCATCAGCTAGAGGTTCCAGCACGCTATCCACCACTAGTACTCCAGCACCACTGTCAGCAAGGTGAGATGCTACCTCCTCTGTTCCAGGCAAACATAAAAAGTGAAGAGAGAGTTATGTAGTGCGTCTGGTTATTTAGTGGGAAGAGGAAAGTCACAGATGCAGAACAAGTTTTTATTGTGGTTACGTTTTGCTCTATACAGAGCTTCGCCATCTTGGTAAAGCTCTACACAGAGTGAAACGTTGCCACCAGTATAATAAATTCACTAGGCAGTATGTCTCCATATTCAATGTACGGAGGACTGAATTTCCACTATTATTCTCTGGTTGACTCACACTGGGTTTTAACACTCTACATTTTAATATCAAAAGTAAATGTCCTAAGCAAATATATATTTTGTACTTAACTCTGTGAAGACGTGTCTTGTGTGCTCTCTGTGGACTGAACCAAGATGCCCTCCATCAAGCAACTTTACCAGCAGCTTAAGGAGGAATTGAGGATAGCGAAGATAGAGATACGGCGATTGACTGAGGAAAACAAGAGGATTCGTAGTAGTCCTCCTGTTGTGAGTCCTCAGGTCAAGAAGGGAACCTGGACAGTGGCCGGACAGCATGGAACGAAGTTGATGATCAAGAAGACGAATGGAAAGGTAGAAACCATGAAGAAGAAAGAGACTGCTGTGGAAACATTTAATGCATTCTCCGTGCTACCCGATGAATGTGAATCGACTACTGGGAACGTCACGACGAACGACACCAAGGAAGATAACAACATTGTTGTTGTTGGGGATAGCCAGGTTAGGTACATGGATAGGGCCTTCTGCTTGAAGGATAGGAGTAGGAGACAAAGGGTTTGCTTTCCTGGGGCTGGGATGGAGGATATTGTTAGCCAGCTTGACAACATCATGAATGGTAATGGGGTCAATTCTATAATCTGCCTCAGTGCTGGAGGCAATGATGTAGGCAAGCATAGAAGTGAGGATTTAGTTAGAAGGTACAGGACAGCAATAGACATAATTAGGAAGAAGGGGGAGGCGCCCTGTTATATATGGCATTTTTCCAAGAAGGGTTGTTGGAAATGAATGGTTGTCCAGAGCAATTGGTATTAATTGTTGGCTGGACAAACACTGTAAGGATAATGCAGTACCATTCATCGACAACTGGGACCACTTCTATGGCCGAAATGACATGCATGCCAGGGATGGGGTTCACTTATCCAGGACAAGTGTGGGTGGTCTTGCTAGCTCAGTTGAGGGTGTTGTTAAGACTTTAAACTAGGACTAGTTAAAGGTATAGGTTTAGAAATGGAAAATAGTGTCGAAACATGGATTTAGGCTTTGAAATTATAAATCTTAACATTAATGAGGACAGTAATAGGTATAGTGGAAGAACAGAAAGGAGCAGGAAGGGTAAAAAGGAGGGTCCTTAAATATATATTACACAAATAGTCGTAGTGCTAGGAATAAAATGGATGAGTTGAGATTAGTTGCTAGTGCAGGTGACACTGATGTATTTGCCTTAACTGAGACGTGGTTCAATACGAAAAATCGGGATATGCCTGCTGAATGTCACACACAGGATTTTAAATTGTTCCAAGTAGACAGAAGTATCGGGAAGGGAAGGGAAGGGGGGTGGCACTGTATGTCCGAGATCGCTTGAACTGTTGCATAAAAATGGGTATAAAATCTGAAATATCACATACAGAGTCTCTTTGGACAGAATTTTCAGAGCGGCATGAAAAATTGATTTTAGGTGTGATATACCGTCCCCCAAACTTAGATAGGGACCAAGGGAGACTACTATGGGAAGAAATTGTTAAGGCCACAAGGCACGATAACATAGTAATTCTAGTGGACTTCAACTTTAGTCAGATTGATTGAAATTTCTTGACTGGGAATTTAGAATTTAACGATTTCTTAGAAGTAGTTCAGGATTGTTTTTTGAAGAAGTTTGTGACAGAACATACAAGGGAAAATAACCTGCTTGATTTGGTTCTGGCAAACAAGGAAACCCTTGTTAATAATTTAGAAATTACAGAGGAACTCGGCGCAAGTGATCATTAATCAATTACCTTCAGCATTGAGTGGAAGTATGATAGTAGGGATAACTCAGTAACAGTCCCAGATTTTCGCTTAGCAGATTACAATGGGCTTAGAGAACACTTATCATCTGTGGACTGGAGTAACGAAGAGAGCTATCAATATGAGAGTTTTCTGAACACTGTACGTGCTGCCCAAAGAACATTTATCCCGTAAAAAGAAATTAGATCGAATAGAAATGACCCAAAATGGATGAATAATAGGCTCAAATATCTTTTAGGGCAGAAGAAAGGCATTTACAGGCGTATCAAAAGAGGTGAGGGTCATCTTATGAATCAGCATATTGACATTAAGAGGGACGTTAAAAAGGGGATAAGAAAAGCTAAAAGGGACTATGAAATTAAAGTTGCTAGGAATTCGAAATCTAACCCTAAAAGTTTTTTCCAGGTGTATAGAACAAAAGTTAGAGATAAGATAGGTCCCCTTAAAAATAACTATGGAGTTCTTACAGACAAAGAGAATGAAATGTGCTCTATTTTTAATAATTATTTTCTCTCGGGTTTTACTCAGGAAGACACTAATAATATCCCAATAATTAGGTTTTTTAGTGGGCCTGAAGAAGATAAATTATTTAATATCACAGTCACTAGCGAAATGGTTATCAAACAGATAGACCGGTTGAAGCAAAATAAATCGCCTGGTCCTGATGGTTTTTTTTAAGGGTTCTTAAGGAATGCAAAATGGAACTCTGTGAACCTTTAACTAATATTTTTAATTTATCTCTTCAAACAGGCGTAGTGTCTGATGTGTGGAAGTTGGCTAATGTAATTCCTATTTTTAAAGCAGGGCACAAGTCGTTACCGTCAAATTACCGCCCAGTAAGCCTAACCTCAATTGTAGGCAAATTACTAGAGCCAATTATAGCTGATAGTATAAGAAGCCATCTCGATAGGCATAATTTGATTAATGATACTCAGCATGGTTTCACCAGCGGCTGTTCCTGCAAAGCTTTTGAGGCAGTTGATCAGGATAAAAAATTCGATATTGTTTATTTAGATTTTAGTAAGGCTTTTGATAGAGTACCACATCAGACACTGTTGAAGAAAGTGGCTGCTCATGGCATTGGGGGAAAAGTGCTGTCACGGATCGAGCCATGGCTCACTAATAGGAACCAGAGAGTGTGTATAAATGGGGTTAAATCTGAGTGGGGATCTGTAACAAGTGGCGTTCCGCAGGGATCATTTTTAGGCCCATTGTTATTTATAATATATATAAATGACCTTGACGAGGGAATTACTAGTGACATGAGCAAATTTGATGATGACACGAAGATAGGTAGGATAATCGATTCAGACGTTGATGTCTCGGAACTTCAGGAGAATTTAGACAAACTCAGTTCGTGGTCAGAAAAGTGGTAGATGCAGTTCAATGTAGATAAATGTAAAGTTCTAAAGCTCGGAAATGTTCATAACCCTAGCACCTACCAGCTTAATAATGCTGAACTTAGCAGTACAGAATGCGAAAAGGACTTGGGGGTTATGGTGAGCAGTAACCTTAAACCAAGACAGCAATGTCTAAGCGTACGTAATAAGGCAAATATATTACTGGGATTTATATCAAGAAGTGTAAGCAACAGAAGTGGTAGCACTGGGCATTGCTGGTGCTTTCGACCGGGTGTGACACCAGGGCCTCTTAGCAAAACTTCAAGCACTGGGACTTGCAGGCTCTACGCTATGTCTCCTCAGTGATTACCTTCATGGTAGATCTCTAAGTGTAGTTCTCAATGGAACGGAATCAGCAAGACATCCTATTGGGGCAAGTGTTCCACAAGGAAGAGTGCTGGGACCATTGTTATGGAATGTCTACTTCAACGACCTTCTTCATCTCATCCCAGAATCCCATGCATATGCAGACGATTGTATACTGACATTCACTTTTCCAAGAGAAGAAATGCCAGCTGCTCTAAGCTACATCAATCACCAGCTGAGAGCTGTATCAGCTTGGGGAAATAGATGGCAAGTAACATTTGCACCTGAGAAAACGCAAATGATGATCATCTCTAGGCACCATGATGGTAATGCTGGTGCAGTAGTAAGGATGAATGGGAGGGTGTTGGCACCTGGAGAAGTTGATATCTTTGGGGTGAAATTTGACTCCAAACTAACCATGAAGAACCATGTTGTAAATCTTGCAAACAAGGCAGCCAGGAAGCCTACAGCACTTCGCCGTATCTCGCATCTGCTTGACAATAAGGGTTGCAAGATTCTGTACTAGGCACAAGTACGCTCACACCTTGAGTATGCTCCACTTTCTTGGTTTGCCTATCCCCCCTCTCATCTGCGACTGCTTGACAGAGTAGAGAACAGAGCAAGACGTCTCATCTCTCGCCTGGACTCATCCTGGATAGATCTGTCATTTCAGCAGAGCCTTCAACACAGGAGGGATATAGGTGGCCTTACTGTTATGTACAAGGCCAACATTGTCAAAGTACCACACTTGGATCCACTTCGGGGACAGCGTGAAACAAGCATTTATGCCACAAGAAGGGCAGAAAGCAGCAACTTCACTGGCTGTACACTTCTCCAGAACATCACTCCATCTGAGATCTTATATACCCAGGATGACTCGGGTATGGAACACATTCGTAGAGCATAATGATGTCGACTAGAAAAAGTCAGTTGATCAAATGAAAATGCTGGCCCACAGATGGCTCCAACTTCATCCTGTTCCATACTTGTATGTCTCATAACAATAAAAATGCTTTCAAATGAGCTGATGTAGGTAACAGCTCTTAGCTTGCCAATAAAGTTAGGAATCCTTAACCTGTAAATAGCTTGTCAATAAAGCTAGGAATCCTTAACCTTGTCAAACCCTGTGTAAAAAAAAGAGAGAGAGAGAGAGAGAGAGAGAGAGAGAGAGAGAGAGAGAGAGAGAGAGAGAGAGAGGAGAGAGAGAGAGAGAGAGAGAGAGAGAGAGAGAGAGAGAGAGAGAGAGAGAGAGAGAGAGAGAGAGAAAGAGAGAGAGAAATCCTTGTCTCCAAC